CAAATTCTCGTTTGATCTCAGTGATATACATTTCTAGTTGCGTATTTAAGCGCATGACACTATGGTACTTCGAGAAAACTAGGGAACCATTCCATAGAGAAATGAATTGTTAGCTGATTGCATTTTGCTGTGTAAAACGACTAGTGTTGCTCATAGCTGGACTTGCTCACGAGCAAAGTGGACTCGTTACTATTTTATTATGCGTTTTCTCCTTGATATAACACACTTTTTTATTTGTTCTCCTTCTCTTACCACACGTTGTATAAAGATTATTTGGTTCTGTTGTAATATGCCTTTTTCACGTACGATAATCACGTTTTACTTCACTTGCTCTATCGTATTCAAGAGGTATTACCCCACCCTCACCCTATTTATTAGTGCATTAGCCTGTGTTCAGTACAATAAAGGAAAGAGACTCCCGATGATTCTCTTACAAACACATTGTGAACATGAATAAGCACAAAGTTGCAGTTTCATTAGGTAAACAAAAATATCTGATCATTTTGCTTAGGGTTTCAAAAATATAGTAAGGCGCTCGAAATTCAAACGAAAAGCACGATTTTATTTCTGGCTTAAAGATTTAAAGATTCAAAAAATTGGAGAGGTCCGTTTTTTTGAAAAATCACTAGTTTTCAAAAATCTGACTACTTCTCGGTTCCACGTGGTTCTGGAACCTTTCAAAAGTGTTTTCGAAATCAGCGTGAAAACCTGCATACAGAGATGTGTATTTCGAGGTTCCAGAACCATGAGAAGTGATTCCATGAACCATCAACGTGGTTCGGTGTGCGTTTCTGTTATAAGGAAAAACTTTTCTTTTTTAAAAACAAGCAGTTTTTCAAATGGATAATACATCACAATTAAATTTTGAGGCAGTTGGATAGGCTACACACATTCCTGATAAAAGTAATGATGTAGGATAAGTGCATGTTTATGATAAATTTTTCAGATACCACTGGTAGCCTACATCATAGTTTTGATTGTAAAAATGTAGCAAACAATTAAAGAATCTATCGATAACAACGGAACCATTTGGTTGATTAGCAGTGCTCAATGAAGATAATATACAGGACCAGTTGTAAGATGAACTGCGAATAAACGAATATACGAACGGCACACAACGCGGCACGGATGATGTGCATGGTAGTTGTCTTGCAATACTGCGCAGCTTTGATGTTGTGTAAATTTGTTGCTCTTGTTTTGGATCTGGCACATCGAGTGCGATCAGATTTCGTTCAATTGTATAAATATGCCTTGATATCAGACTCTCATTTATTGCTGATGATTTTTCCACTATAAAATTGTGGACGGCATTACCGAGAGCATATTGTTCGATGCAAAATGCTGATCCAGGAAATGTTGGATTTGGATCTTTGTAGCTTGAAAATGCTTGAGGTTGAGTCCATGTATCCCATGCTTGCTTCCACAACGAGAAGAACAATGTCATTGAACTCGATTTAAAACCCATGAAACAAGCCTGCGGAATAAATGTGTCTCGATGTTGTTCATGCCATTTGCTCATGAAACAATTGTCGTACATGACATGATCGAGAATGAAATAGAACAGTTGAGTAGACAAGCGAAAAGCATACAAGCTTGATGTCATATCTTTGTAGACAATTGTGTCCGAATCCATCCAGTACACCTCTTGAAAACCATCATGTGAAAATTTGATAATATCAAGTTTATATTGCGTTGGATTCCAGTCTTTGATGAGCGGTGATTTAGACGTTCGTTTACATATGACTCGATAATGATACTTTCGATCGATATTATTCATCATCACTATTTTCGTATCGTCATCCATCACCAGGATACCGATCATTATGTGCGGTGTCACCTTCAACAACGAGTTGGTTGCGTTTATTGTCATTGTTGTGTACTGTTCACTACCGTCCGCTAAATAGCAGATGATTGCCGATGGATTCTTATAAACATTGTTACATTTTGTGATGGCATCTGCATAAAGTTCAGGTATCATGTACTTTGATATTTCGTTATCACTGTCATTCTGCAACGACTTTATTGACCAACGGTGCAAAGCTGAATAGAGCATGCTTTGATTGGGCACTAAAACATCTGAATGATCGAGAATATCTGATAGAACGTCGAAAGGAATTTTTAAAAATTCTGGCTGATGGCATACATAGAGAGAGTTGATCGCGGCCGTTTTGATGCATTCCTTACGTAACGTTATCCAACAATCGCCGAGAAACAGCTGCGTGAATAGTAGACGTAAACAGTTATTTGCATCAATAGTTGTTGTTATCAGATTTAGCAGTGCTCTGAGTAACGTTGGAATCTGATACATATCAGCCAGTCTCAATAACGACTCTATCTGTCCGAAACTTAACGTTGATGTTGCTATCGTGCCAGTGTAGAGAAACTTCAACATCGATGGAAAACCTTGTGGATCATCGAGTTTCAAAGAAACAACACTGGACGTTGACTCAGTCATTTCACTTTGAAACATGGCTTTGAAGTAATCCGAGCCTGCTGCAAGAACTGCTCGATGAACTTTAAAATGATCTTTATCGTTGACGATGAGTTTAATATCGTGCATTGTATGATCCGTGTAGAGAATCATGGCAACATCATGATAACGGGTTTGATTATCTTGAGTGTTGATGTCTAGCGCGTTGTATCGATCTATTATGAGTTGAACAAAATCGTCTTTGCTGAGAACATTGTTATCTTTATTCAGCTTCTCATTTTTATTAACGAGCCAGTCCTTGTTGTTTATTTTGTACTTGTATTCATAATTTTCTGGAACAAGATGTACAGTTTCACTATGGACATACTCTTGAGGACTCTTTCGATATGCATACGTCAGTCGAGCTAAAGAATTTGCCCAACTGGTATTATTAAATGAACCGTATAATTCGACACAATCGAATTGGACGCCGTGCACACTTGGAATGTAATGGGATATGTACGTTTTTGCCAGACCTCATTCATGTTTCGTGTGTTTTATTTTGGAATAAAAGGAAAAGAGAATCTGATGGGCAAAAAGATGAAAAGAAAATGTTGTATTTGTGTATCAGATTCTCTTTCAGCCGCAAAAAATATGCACGTTTCATTGTCATATTCAAATTCTGGTCTGATTCATACGAAAAGATATAAGAAAAAGAAAAAGAATTGCATCAAAGAATACTTATCTTGTCCACACAATCTTGTCCACAATATACTGTTTCAAATAAACAGAGTTTGAATCAACTGCTAAACTGTAGAACTGTAAAACTGGTATAGATAAAAACTCTTGAAAGAATATAATAAAAGATTTTGTTAAACAAGAAGCATTGGTATATTTGAAGCAAAACTAAAATTCAAAGGCATAATAAAATTAATTGAAAGTGAAATTTGTTCGGTTCTGTCTTGTATGTGTACATGGACTGTCTTTGTGTATTACAGTCTGCTGCATATTCAAAAATGATGAATAATCTACTAGCCCAAGAGAAAAACAAAAACTAAAGGCATAATAATTTACGACCACTCGATCCAGTCCAATTCATGCAACTATTAGTTTGGATAATACATTTCAAAATATTCTATCCATCATTCACATAAATAATGTAACAATAATCTACGTGTTTGGAAAGGTTTTATTTCTTTTTCTAAGCCCTAATCGGGTAATGGCCCAGATAAGCATATACTCGGGATCATATATGCATCATAAAATTTATCACGTTTACAAAGCAAAAAGCATGTGGATAATTGAAGAGTCCGCATTAGCTTAAGATCATTTTGAATTTATTTTTGGTTAGAATTTCATCTCGCATTGCTTCCAATTCATTGACATCCCAATTGGCAGATATATATCTGCCATTGAGAAAATCGGCCTTCGGTGATGCCAAATAAACGCAAAATCCACCTGCTAATTCTGGAGTATCAATGAGGATGTGATGACTATCTTCGGGCATATGCATCGCTAGCTCTGTTTTTATTCCTCCTGGATGGTAGGCAAACACGCGAACGCCTTTATCGTTATATTCTTCATAAACAAAATCGGTGAAGCGATTAATGGCCGTTTTCCCAGATTGATAGCCACTGCATCCCGGTATTGTTTTAAGCCTGAAATAAGTATCACAGATATAATGATGGTGAAAGAAGATAAGGTACACTTACGATCCAATACTTGACGTATTGATAATAGTACCCCATCCATTTGATTGCTTCAAAAACTCTCGGGTCATAAGCCACGTTCCTTTAACATTAATTTCATAACACTTCCACCATTCGTCCACTGTTGATTGACCCACTGGTCGAAATGTTTCCAACATAGCAGCATTGTTTACCAATACGTCTACACCACCACCCAGTTTTTCTTTTGTCACTTGAAATAATTTCTCTACATCTGTTTCTGATGTGACATCTGTCTGGGTAAATAGTACTTCAATATCCGAATTAATCTGTTTCAGTTCTCTTTCCAGATCCTGTGAGACAGCCAATATTTTTCTTGAGGCTAGGGATAATGCCTTTGCACCAGCATGGGCGAACGCGAAAGCTACAGCTTTTCCGATGCCTTGTGCACCACCTGTTATTAATATGATTTTTCCTCGAGCAGTACCTTTAAGTGTTGTTCGAGGATCAATTGCTTGATAAACATCATGATGGATGGTAGGAACGGGATCTTCAACAGACCACATTTTCCCATAGGATGATGATATTGATGTAATACCTCTTGAATACGATAGAGCAAGTGAAGTAAAACGTGATTATCGTACGTGAAAAAGGCATATTACAACAGAACCAAATTATCTTTCTACAACGTGCGGTAAGAGAAGGAAAAAAAAATAAAAAAGTATGTTATATCAAGGAGAAAACGCATAAGAAAATAGTAACAAGTCTTACTTGTGCTCCGAATACAAAAAAAGCGAATAGAATCAAAAAATGACGGATCATGCAGTTAATTTTATTCTCTAATAGTAAAAAAATTGTTAAAGCTTCTTTCTTCTTGTGGAAGCATTTCTTTATGCTTCCACAGCATTTTACTAGATAAATAAACTTATAATTGTTATAATTTTTGTTATGATTTTTTTTCCTTCGCTTACCGCACGTTGTATAAAGATAATTTGGTTCTGTTGTAATATGCCTTTTTCAGGTTGATAACATTGATATCTTATTTAGTCGCACTTGAACATCGTTATCAACCAGTACCATATCATAATAGAACGCATGCAGCTGACGTTTGCCAGTCGATGCATGTATTGTTAAATGCCCCGGCACTCGATGTAA